AGTTTAATCGAGAGAAAAAAAAATATAAGAAAAACAGATAGGGAAATTCCACGGAATAGTTGAGCATTTATCATCATCAGCAGCTTGACTTTGGGCATATTGAATATTTGGCTGGCTTTAGCCCACCTACAAATGAATATTAACGGTTCGCCTCCATCCGGAATTGGGTGGGAATTATTCAAATTTCGGGCTAAAACACGAAACGTGTTCGGCATCCGCAAAATCCTTTGAGCAAACACATTGGGGCAAAGGCTAAAATGACACCAGCGGCTATATTGTTGTATGTATGTAGGTATACTCAGTCCCCAGCCATTAAAAGTATGCTTGGCTGAATGCCGAATGTTCCCTTTTATGCAAATCCACCGAACGTTGATGGCCGAAAGGCCTTTGCCGTCGACGTCTTGTTGCCCTGAAAAATTGACACCTCATCGCTTTTCAATGGAGCACCTGGAAAAGGGTGTTTGTTTTGTGGCTGAAAGAGTGCGGCTGATTGAACCGCGTCCGACTGATGGGTTCCGCTCCCAGGGGAGCTAATCACTGCTACATTCTACAAATATTGTTTGGTCTAGAATCTAGATTCTGAAAGAAAGTAGTGAGTCGATTTTGAAAAATAATTATGGGAAAGTACACAGCACGCATTATTTTCTAAGAAATCAAAGATTTTTGCCGTATTCGAAAAGCATTTATTATACCCTGAACTCGTTCAATAAAAAAGTAGGAATATTACATTTAATCCAGGAAATCTAACTGGTAAACCGACACCAGACTAAATTAAGAATAATTTTTTAATAACATTTTATATATATTAGAATGCTCTTGTCGTTACTTACGCTGACTGTTCAAGCTGGTTATAAATTATGTTGAACTTTATTCGCTGTAATTCGGGAGACCCTTGCAGAGGGTATTATAATTTCAGTCAGATGTTTGCAACGCAGTGAATGAGACGTTTCCGACCACATAAAGTATATATATATTTTTGATCAGCACCAATAGCCGAGTCTATCTAGCCATATCCGTCTGTCCGTTTCTATGCGAACTAGTCTGTCAGTTTTAAAGCTATCGCAATGAAACTTTCCTGAAAGTCTTCTTTCTATAGTAGGTTGTACATATGCCGGAGGGAGCCGGATCGGACCACTAAATCTTAAGGCTCCCATAAGAATATTCAAACAAATATAAGAAAATTCATTGTAACTTTGTAGGAAGTAGGCGTTTTGATTCTTGACAACTTAAAAGCAAAATTCAAATAGAAACCCTGAATCTGGAATTCCTGGAACTGCACCGAGTGAGCATTAAACTATAGGTATTTACTTTATCTGCAAGGGTATATAAGCTTCGGCTGGCCGAAGGTAGCTTCTTTTCTTGTTTTAATTTGTAAAAATAAACCGAACCGACTTTATACTCTGTAATTGGTGAACAGAAAAGTATATAATTTTTGTGCAGAAAGATTTCTTAGAGATCTAGAGGTTTAGAGATTTGGAAGATTTACAGGTTTTTTTAATAAAATTCATTTAAAAAATTAATTGGGAAAGATTTTATTTATTTGTCATAGTAAAAATAAAACGATCGTGCCTTTTCACCTCGATTAAGTGATAAGCTTTCTGCAATGCTCACATAAACATCAAAACTATTTCTAAAATAAAAAAAATAAATCATAAAGAAATTCAAAATTGTTTTGAATATAAAAAACAATAAATGTGATAACAAATATTGATTGTTCAAGATATGTTTGCTGAACTCTTTTCTCTGAGATTCGACAGAGCAACCACAATCTGTAGACCAGCATTAATAGCAGATGGTGAGGTTTAGAAGCTGATATGATGCTGTGTACTGGAAGTAAGCGATAAGCAGCACAATCCCGAAATAAAATATATCTTTCAGTCAACGTTTGGAAGTCGACATGAGCTGGCGGACTTATTTACTAATAACGGCGGTGGCCAATTGTTGGTCAACTGTTCAACTAAGTGGATATATTTATACTCTTACAAACGGAACCGACGTTAATAGTTTTACCTATGACGTAGGCTGTGTCTTCAACGGATCCGCGCCAAAACCGTGGAATATTCAGCTCATGATGGATAATCGGAAGTTGGAAACAGATCTTGTCGACGAGTTCACCATCAGCTACAGAATAAAGCGAAATCAGTTCCAGCGAAGAGAGTTGGATATCCAGTGCAACTGGCCCGATAATAGCACAACTAGAGCAGTGATCTCGTGGATGGCGTTTCTTCAAGTTTCGTCCTTCAAATGCTCTTACACTGATATTAGAACAGAACTAGAGTGTCAATTTTATTACTATGATGGAAAGTGGAACAACAATAGATTCTTTGTGACTATGGATAACTTGTTTAAAGTTGAGTGCACATCCGAGGATTTGTGCAACATACAATATTCCATTAACTTTCCGGGAATAAATCGAAATTTCACAATCGAAAAACACTCTAATGGCATTTTACGAAAGCAGGTGATTTACCTGACTGACATTCAAATGAGAGTGCCGTATTGGCCAAATAATACACCCATAATAGAGCAATCAGGATTCACGGTCTGCATAGATTTCGGCTCGAATGAATTTAAAAATAGTAGCTCCTACAAATGGCTTGTGATCCGGGAGCCGGTAAATAGCCAGATCAGTAGTATGATAAGTAGTTATGAACCAGGTAACTTCCCAGAGCCAGGTAACTACTACGATCCAGAAAAAAATGAGCTTCACGTCTTTTGGGACCCCCTGGATGAACTGAAATTTAACGGACCCAACTTTACGTACATCCTTACCACAGATACGGGGTAATTCTCGATACTTTAAATTCTAAATCTAAGAATCTCATTAACTCTTTTTTTTTTAGAAAGAAACCGATAAATCAAAGCAACAGCTCAGCAGTTTTCCAGGACTGGGATTCCTCGCAGTGTAGCACAGTGTCCATTTGGAGCCAGAACGCCATGGGCCGATCATTGGATTGCGATAATCTGACGGTACCAATTCTTACCAACTATACGCAGCTTCAAGTACAGAATTTGCAGTACCACTTAGAGAACCATACCCTCACCTGGGAACCACCACAGGAACAGAATTGGACTTGTCCCTACCACATATACTCGTGTTCTACATCCACAAACTGCAAACCAAATTATGCTACGTATACAGAACATGAAAACACTTTCCAGTCTGTTATACTGAAAGAAAGAAATATTCTTGGTGTAGCAATGAACTGCTTAGATGGTTTCGGCGGGGTCATGAAGTTTATTGATCCGCTTCTCCCTAAAAAAAAAGAACCGAAATCTGTTGTACTGGAAATAAGTATCACTATTTCGATCTTATTCATCTTGGTAATGGTTACCCTGATTTCCGTCTTATTTCGAAAATGGAAACGAAAGATAGTTAAAGAAATTGTCATAACCCTGCCACCCATATTCGACCCCATTGCGATGAACCGATTAGGAGAACGAAATGTTCATTTCACTTACAGCCATGATGCCCCAGTCAAAACCATCTCTTTGGTGAGGAGAATATTTTTGGGTTCGTGGGAAACAAAAAAAATTGTAGGTCGGAACATTGCTCAGTTGCCTCCAAGACCTGAGTCTCCTAAAGACGTCTCCTCACCATACAGACTAATAAATGAAGCTCAGTCGACAAGAATTCAGGATCCTTCTGATACAGGCTCATCACCGTACACAATACCTAATGCTTCTCAGTTTTCTAGAAGCCCCGATAATCCTGATCTAGTCTCCTCACCATACACTTTACTGAATGAAGCTCATTCGTCAGGAAGTCAGAACACTTCTGATCCCGTCTTTATAGCATACACGACAATAAACTGATTTTTCAAGTCTGAAAACTTTATATATTCTTGACAAAAATCACTATGGACGGCAGTCCATGTAGTGACGAAGCGCACCAGGAAAGTGTGCGAAGGCGACTACTATATATACACGAAGAAATGAAAATCTACTGTGATGGTCCGATCATAATGAATAATACACCTATCGAAAGGTATTGCGAAAACTAACAGGATTGCATACCAAGACTTTAAGAAAATCAATTGGCTTGGGAGAGAGAGCGGTGAAAGTGAAAAAGTGAAAATTTCGAAATTTGGAGCTGTTGGGGCCGGTGGGGATGCCCCCTCGCAATGTTTTAGTTGTATTCCTTTTGAAAATACCCGTCGAATGAGGGGTCATTTGTCAAAATCCGACTCTCCGTTCAAAAGTTAGAGCCAAAATAAGATTTTCTTCTTCTTCCCAAAATGAAAATTTAATTCTGTTTGTCAGTTTGTCCACTTGTCCACTTGTCCGCTTGTCCACTTGTCCACTTGTCCAAAATATGTTTTTTAAGTTCTGAAAATTTGATATGACGTTCATCACATCGATATAAGAAAATTTTGTTTTACCACTTTTGGAAAAACTCGCTAGTTTAGCGGGAAAACAGCTATAAATAGCTAAAATTCGGAATTCCGTAATTTGTGACGAAAAATTATTACACTCGTCATTAAATAGACTTTCTAATCTTTTCTCATTCGTCACGCTGCAATAGAAAATGCCTGTAAGGGGAAAAAGGCTGGAATAGTTTGCTAGGGCGGGCCGAATGAGAAAAGATTAGAAAGTCTATTTAATGACGAGTGTAATAATTTTTCGTCACAAATGCTGATATCAGAACTTTTGTATGTTGAAGGTGCGGTCGTCACTAGTTTTTTACCTCGTTAAGAGGTGTTTTTATTTGATAAAATACTTTAGAAAAACTTACAAAAATATTTAATATTTTTTTTTGGAAAAAATATGAATATACAAATTTGTTCAAACTTTTTATGTTAGGCATTTTATTCTTTTTCTTGGAATTAGTTTTTTAGCTGTCTAAAATAAATTGCTAAAAGTCGAATTTGTTTTACTGAGTAAAATCAGCTGAAAGAGCTTTTCCATCCAGCTGATCTCCGTTTTCCACTTGTCGCCTTCGATCTCCAATGGCCGGAAAAGCTTTCCCAGTTGCCGTGGAATCGCCAGCCGGTGTGTGCTCGCATGAAAAACGAAAAATAAAAAATATTTCGAAAATAGCTCAGTCCGCTGGCCGCAAATGTTTCGTGGAAATTCCAGAGGAGCAGAGGGCATGTGGCATCGCATAGTTCTGTTCTGTTGCATTTGGAGTGCATTTTTCGTGTGGCACAGCCAGGGGCAACAAATCAACATTGGTGAGATGTGGTCAGGCAGAAGAGAAAAGAAAAGTTACCTGAAATTCCCCTGCAGGTGCCTTCTTCTACGACGATGAGCTGGAGCTGGAAAAGGAGTTCCTGGCGGTGGTGAATGCCATCAATGGACCCGAAGAGGAGCAAACCCTGCGTTTCTATCCGCTAATCAAACGCCTGAAGCCCGAAGATGGAAGTGTAACGATGCAGGAACAGGGTAAATCCATCATCTGACTAGAGAAGTCCAAATCCAAATTCTGAATGAGTCTTTCGCTTTCAGCATGCGATCTTATAGATAATGGTGTCGCGGCTATTTTCGGACCAAGTTCAAAGGCGGCGAGCGGTAAGAGAGCGGAGGAAAAAATCTTGTGTAGAATACGAAAGCAAAATAGAATGGGAAAAACTTTTGGGCCAAAAGAAAATCACAGAAAACTATGGGAAAACATATGCTGGATTTTTGTTTGTCAACAGAGCGTATAAGTGATCAAATCTCTCTTTGGTGTATTTAATCTAAACATATTATATATATATTTCCCTCTCTCTTCGCAGACATTGTAGCTTTGGTTTGCAATAATACCGGCATTCCGCATATAGAGTTCGATGTTTCGGACGAGGAGATGCAGGAGGAGAAGCCCAACCATCAGCTAACCGTAAATCTCTACCCATCCCAGGTTATTTTGTCCAAGGCCTATGCGGATATTGTGCAGAACTTTGGTTGGCGCAAGTTTACTATTGTCTACGATGCAGATGATGGTAAGTAAATACACATTGAACAAAAGGTATAATTGATCTTAGAAAAAATCTTTGATTTTAAAGCAATGCCAAGCTGCCTTTATTTAAAGTAAATAATTTTTCAAAAGGCATTAAAAATGTTTAGTTAAAATTTTATTAAAAAAATCAATGTTGTTTAGGTAATTTTTATATTTATATTATATAGGTGTTCTTTTTCTCTGTTTAATAACATTTCAAATATATATTGAATTTTAACTTGCACATATAAGAAGTATTCAGAAGTATATCAAATTAAATTATTATAATTGGCATTGACATTGTTTTGAAGACTCATAATTCTTTTGATTTTCGTGCCGCTTTTCAAATCAAATCAAATTAAATTATTAATTTCGGTTTTATTTATTTTTTTAGTGTTTTTGGATTGACATAGTTTTTCTCTTAGAAAGCTGAATATTTAAATATCATGTTAAACTCATATGTGAATTTATTTTTAATTAAATCTAATACAATTTCTAAACTTCCACAGTCAAGGCTGCAGCTCGTTTGCAGGATCTTTTGCAGTTGCGTGAGGTTCACAACGAAGTGGTGCGGGTGAGAAAGTTCCAAAAGGACGATGACTTTCGGATCATGTGGAAGAGCATTCGGGGGGAGAGAAGAGTGGTTCTGGACTGTGCTCCTGGCATGCTGGTGGATCTCCTGAACTCCTCCTCAGAGTTTGGTCTTACTGGGCAGTACAATGTAAGTTATTAGTAGTAACTTTTTTATTGCAACCTTATTTAATTTTAAACAATCCAAAAATAGCACATATTTCTGACGAACTTGGAGACCTATACCGATCATCTGGAGGAACTGTCGGCAGATAACGAAACCTTTGCAGTTAATATAACCGCTGCTCGTCTTTTGGTCAATCCCGATCCACCAGCGGTAAGTAAATGGAATTTCATGCCTTGAGAAGAGGGTTCGTTAATAATGAAATAGTCCTCAAAAAACGGGAAGAGTTCGAAAATATTTAGAAAGTTTCACAAAAATTATATACTAATATTTATACCCGATATTCGAAAAAGTTGTAGTTGGGTAAGAATTTCTCAACTGCGCATATAAAATTTTAGATTTTCTTCAAACTCAGGTACTCTGAAGAGTTTGCCTTGGTTATCATCTGTGATTTTTTTGAAATTTTTTGGTGTCCATTTGTGGGCGCTATGAAGGGACGGTGGTAAAATTATGATATTAATGTATGTGCATAATATCAGTGAGTAATTTAGTAATTCAGCTTAAACATGTAAGAATTGTATTCATTGGAAATATAAATAGGGATTTTCTAAATTCACATAAAAAGTTATATATCTGGGAAATGATGAAAGGGAACAAAAATGTTTCTTTGGGTAAATTAAGTTGGTTATGAGATGGACAATCTTGGATAGTTAAGTTTCTTTTATAGGATGAAGAAGACATTCAAAAGCGCGATTAAAAATTTCAAATAATTAAAATGCATACTTATTGGACAACAAAAAATTTAAGAAAATTATTTTCTAACTCCCCCAGTACACATTTAAAAACGTGTAACGTTGCACGTTGTTCTTCTAAGCCGTTCTTGAGATATACTAATTTGAAGTTTGAGAACAATTTTTAAGTTCTTAACTTCAAAAATGCATAGCGCCCACAAATGGACACCAAAAAATTTCAAAAAAATCACAGATGATAACCAAGGCAAACTCTTCAAAGTACCTGAGTTTGAAGAAAATCTTAAATTTCATATGCGCAGTTGAGAAATTCTTACCCAGTTGTAAAAATGGAGATTAAGTTTTTAAAATCGGACAATACATTAAAAAGTTTTGAGATAAAATTAAATGGCCGATAGATGGAGCCATCGCACTCCCTTTAGCAGAGTAACGAATATGGACTATAACGTTTCCTCTCGTTTTTCAAAATATTTTATTTTCGCTGTAAACATCACTTTTTCGAACGAGACCCTTAAATGTAGTGTTATCTAAGTCTAATGATTATTTTGGTATATTTCCCGATTTCGTAGTACTCCCTACCCTATGGCTACGTCACTCAGCGGGACAACATCGTCTATGAGAGCAATGAAGCGCCTCGCACTCTCCTCCACGACCTGATACACGATGCACTGCAGCTTTTTGCGCAATCCTGGCGGAATGCAAGCTTCTTTTATCCCGACAGGATGGCGGTGCCGAGGCTAACGTGCGACTTTGCCGCATCCGGAGGTCGCACCTGGGCCATGGGTCGCTATCTCGCACGCCTCATGAAAGGGGTAAGTCAGAGTCAGATTGCTTTTGCAATTATCCAAGGTATCACCGACTGTGTTTGCAGACTTCCGGGGTGAACAGCTCGAACTTCCGGACGAGTAGCCTGCAGTTCGACGACGATGGACAGCGGATAACGTTCAACATCGAGGTGTATGACCCCTTGGACGGCATTGGCATCGCCATCTGGGATCCGCGCGGTCAGATAACGCAGCTGAATGTGGACGCCAAGGTGCAGAAAAAGATTGTCTACCGAGTGGCCACCAGAATAGGTCCGCCATACTTTTCGATCAACGAAACTGCTGCGGAACTGAATATCACGGGAAACGCTCTATATCAGGGCTATGCCGTCGACCTTATCGATGCCATTGCCCAGCAGGTGGGTTTCGAGTACGTCTTCGTTCCAGTTGCCGATCAGCAGTACGGTAAGCAGGACAAGGTCACCAAACAGTGGAACGGCATTATTGGCGAAATAATTAACAATGTGAGTATTAAAATTTGATCTTGAAAGTCATTTCGTTCTAAAGAATTCGCGATAGTTGAGCAATTTATGTAGGACTTTAACAAATACATTTTTAAAAATTTTAGAGAAATGAACTTAATTAATTTTCTAAAAAGTTCATAAATATATGAATTTTGTTCTAAAGAATTCGCGTTCTCAATAGCTTGAGATATTCACTAGGATCTTTAAAAGCTAAGAAATAACTGTCCTAAAGAATTCGCGATAGTTGAGCAATTTTTGTAGGACTTTAACAGTTTATTTTTGGTTCTAAAGAATTCACGTTCCCTTTTTTATTTATCTCGGCAATTATGTATTCATTCTTTCTTTTAAAATTTACCATACATTTTTTTAAACCTTAGGATGCTCACATGGGAATTTGCGATTTGACCATCACCCAAGCTCGCAAAACCGCCGTCGATTTTACGGTGCCCTTCATGCAGTTGGGTGTCAGTATCCTGGCCTACAAAAGTCCCCACGTAGAGAAGGAACTGAATGCGTATCTGGAACCCTTTGGAGGCGAAGTCTGGATCTGGATCCTTATAGCGGTGTTCGTGGTCACCTTTCTCAAGACCATAGTGGCGAGGATCTCCCAGATGGACTGGGAGAACCCGCATCCCTGCAATCACGATCCTGAAGTGCTCGAGAATCAGTGGCACATCCACAATACTGGCTGGCTGACTGTGGCCTCCATTATGACGGCAGGATGCGATATCCTTCCGAGGAGTCCACAGGTGAGATTGAGAACGCAAGTTTACTAAATCGCATAATTAAATCTTGATATTAGGTGCGAATGTTTGAGGCTACTTGGTGGATCTTCGCCATCATCATTGCCAACTCTTATACGGCCAATTTGGCTGCGTTTTTGACCAGTTCCAAGATGGAGGGCAGCATCCTCGGCCTGAAGGATCTAAGTGGCCAGAAGAAGGTCAAGTTTGGCACCATCTACGGCGGCAGTACGTACAATCTTCTGTCCGAATCCAACGAGACCGTCTATCGCCTGGCCTTCAATCTGATGAACAACGACGACCCATCGGCCTACACAAAGGACAATCTTGAGGGAGTCGAGCGGGTGCGGAAGAGCAAGGGCGGCTATATGTTCCTCATGGAGACCACCACCTTGGAATTCTATCGCGAACAGAACTGCGATATGCGCTCCGTGGGCGAGAAGTTTGGGGAGAAGCACTACGCCATTGCTGTTCCCTTTGGCGCCGAGTACCGATCGAATTTGAGTGTGGCCATCCTGAGGCTAAGTGAACGGGGCGCCCTGTACGATATGAAATCGAAGTGGTGGAAGAATCACAACACCACCTGCTTCGAGGAGCCCGATCAGAAGGATACGCCCGACATGACCTTCGAGGAGCTGCGCGGCATATTCTACACGCTCTACGTGGGCATCCTGATTGCCTTCCTTATCGGCATCACAGAATTTCTGATCTACGTGCAGCAAGTGGCGTTGGAGGAACGGGTGAGTGGTATCTATTTTGTGAAACTATCAAAATAATCGATAATGGGGTTATTTAAAATATCTAGAATTTCGATAAATTTGAAATATTTAAAATCTTCATTTTTACAGCTCACTTTTAAGGCTGCCTTCAACAAAGAGATTTGGTTTGTGATTTGCGTGTGGAATAAAAAGAAACCCATCGTGGCTGGCACCCCAGTATCTAGTGTGAGGACCACACCTCGAAGATCCTTGGACAAGTCCTTGGAACGTACACCCAAATCAAGCCGACGAATTGTTATCGGACGCTCCTCTGAGGAAATGAGGGAAATGCCCCGAGGTTCCCAGTCTGGTTCCTCGTCGCCCACTAACAACACTAAGATTTCACAAAAAGAGGCGCGTCTTTAAATATTTATAATATAATTTAATACAAAGCATTGAAACCAAAATAAAAAGTTTGTAAAGCATCTTAATTTACATATTTTTGATTACATTTATTAAAATTAAGATTTTTTATGATTCTTGTCGAATAAAAGCAACTGTTATATGGAAACATTCAAGTTAATTTGCTCGAGATCATGGTTGTTTTTAATAATCCAATAATTCAACGTTTTAAATCAACAAGTTAACGGGGTTGGAAATTTGTCTTCGCGCTCTTTCTGTTAAATTTCAATAAAAGCTACGCCCGCCATTTGAACCGTAATCAATTTGGAGCTTCCTTAAGCTTGAAATTACTTGGCGGGGGTTCCTTTTCTGATCCTGCGGGCAACACGAGATGTCGATGCTGGAAGTTAGTGCACGCCTCGCTGGCCAACTGCATTAACCCTTGCTCCTCGTCCTTGGTCCTTCGAAGCCATTTTCCAGTTTATTGTTGCCGCAGTTAAGCTTTTTGGCGAGGCGAAAGGAGGCTGTCTCAGCTTGTCAATTGCGTTATTGGAGCTTATTGACATTTTATATCCGGCAACTGACGAACACGAACCTCGCTTCTCATCGCGAAAATTATTTAAGCAGCTGCAGGCGATGGGAAGCAGAAACAGGAGCATCAGCGGGAGGCAAGGATCAAGGACCAAAGGACCAAAGGACCAAGGAGCAAGCAGCTCCTGCTGGGGGAGATTGCCGTGTTCGTGTTGGGTCGCCTTTGGCCTTTGTTGGTTTGTGTAAAATGAGCAGCAATGACAACGACAGCGACAGCAGCCAGCACCAAAAACACAACAACAAGATGATGATGCCAACTGACAATATAGAGTGCGGTGCACTGAAAAAAATGCAAGTGTAATGAAAATTCTATTTTCAAATTGTCTTTCAAGTAATTTAAAGAATTCCTGAGCTATTCAACTTAAGTGACATTTATTATTATTTTATTAAGAATTAAAATTAATTATTATTATCATTATTTTTCTATCATCATTAAAACTTTTATTTCCACATAAGAACAGGATGTTGTTGTTTTCTATCCACAAAAAGATGGTTAAAAAATGTTTTAGAAAATTGGTCATGATGCTTAATCTATATTCAATTTTCCCCAGCTCAAATGACACTTACTTAAATTAAATAATCCAATTATTCTCAGTGTAATGTATCTGGAGTGTCGCCTGCCGGCAGATCGCATTGCATTCCATTCCATTCCGTGGCGAGTGTCATTTGCTAGCCGTTTGTTTGTCTGCTCCGCAGTTCTGTGTGTTCAATTTTTAATTATTTTGTAGTGAAGTGGCTGCAGCTTCGACAGCCGAGCTACGTGAGCCGTTCGAGTAGTTGTCAACTGGGGGAAAAAGCAGGGAGGAGGAAGAGCAGGTTACCACCAGAAGTCAGAAGAAAAGTCTCCACAAATCCGCTGAATTTCGCCGGCTCTGTGGGAAATCCAACACACTTGTTGAGGCCACAACTATTTGCTAGCATGCGCAGTAGCAATCTGAAGGCCCGAATCCACCACCGATGGCCAATGGTTGAGCTGAGGGCCACAAAGCGACAAGTTCCACAGAATTCAGTAAAGGGGGTGGGCTGCTCGCCAAGGACGAAGGACTGTGGACCAAAGGACGAGTCTTATACGGACGGCGCGGGATGTCATTTGTTCATGCCACGCACGTAAGCAATTTCCGCACGAAAGCGCATTCCTTGAGCCTTTAATGTACTTTTTGATGTTAACAAATTTTTCGAACATTTGTTGTTGACTGAGCGGGCGAAAAAAAAGGGGAGACAACTCATGAACTGAATCTTAAGTTGATCTGCGGTTTTGTTTTGGGGATTTAGGATTCAGGATTGGGTGTGAGTGATTAGAGTCGCATAAACAAATTAATAAGTGGGTGACTTCCCAAGCCACATCCAAATCCAAATCCAATCAGGTGGCAAATTTCGAGTGTGTGCAAAACTGGCGCCCAACGAAGTGCAATCAACACCTCGCGCCACAGTTATAAATTGAGCAATTTTCCACTTGGGAAAATTTATGAGCTGCAGCCGTGTGGTGTAAATTGTGGTCAGAAGGCGGAGAAGTCGGATTTGGATTGGGATAAGCTGCCAAGTCCATGGGGCAATCGACTTCGACTTCGACCCTTTTGGCCGCCTGACAGGCAATCCAGGCTATAGACTATAGACACACACGCGTTTGGTCTTCATGGGCTTCACTGCACTTCGGCACTCACTTTGCGGCCGCAATTTCTTGAGCAAATTGAAATTCTTGTGGTCGCTTCCGCCTTTCCCGCTCTAAATGAAGGGACGACCTCCATTAGCCGGTATAAATCTTACACGACTATGTATCTCTGGGCAATCCTCGTATGCTCGTGCACTCGGTGTCTAACTTGTATGGGAAATGGCTGGCAACATTTTTAATTAACAGCTAGCGGAGAGGAAGCAACGATATATTGCGGCAATTGCGATTTACGCGATTTGGCAGGAGACTCGGTCAGTTTTTTAAACACCATGTGCGGCTTAAGTCCGCTCAAATTGTAGTTTATGGCTAAACAACATTGTAAGCTTAAAGTTATTTTTTAAGAACCGAAGAATTGTAGAATAGTATGAAGCCTGTTGTATTTATTTACAAAAAATATTAATTAGAAATAAGTTTTTTATATAATTAAAATCATTACGATTTTATTGTCACCCATGAAGGTGCTTATGTATAGTATAAAAGTATGAAATTCATTTTCAAAGACGACTTTTCTGCTACACGGTATATTTTAATATTTGTAGTAAATCACATGGCAAAAAATAAATAATAAATTATTTAGTAATTATAATATTAAGATTTCATAGTCACTTATAAAAGTGCATAAAAGTATGCAATGTATTTTTAGAATTCCACGAGGCAACAATTTTTTAAACTTACTTTTTTGAAGAAGGAAAAACCCACATACACCTGCTTAGTATATGCAGAGGATTCTAAAAAACAGCCTAGCTTATGGGTCAAAGTTTACCACCCACAAGGCCACATCCCTGCAAGACTGGGTACACAGTGAGTGTCCAGTGTTATTTGCATGTCCTGTTCGCAGGTCCTGTCTGCAGTTTCCCCTCGCTTTGTTTGTTTATTTGCCTGCCACAATGCACTTGACTGCAGGAGGCTGGCATCTTGGCATCCGGAATGTCCTGTTCTCCCTGTTTGCTTTTGCGCCAAGTGGCCAGCAGCTTGTGTTGGTATTTGGTGGACAAATAAAGTGTAGTTATGCAAATGATGGTATGCCCCGCCCACTCATGCTCATAAATTCAGGCATTTTGGCCGCAGAATTCAATTTTCCACACAATTGAAGGTCTCACATTACTCAGGGCGAAGTTCGCGCACGATCGCTGGCTGCACACATTTAAAAAGAAAAACAATTGCCGAAAAACCATTGCAATTTTTCCTCAGCGGGGCAAAGACAACAGCGAAAAGCAAATAAACGCGAGAGAGAGTAAAGGAGCAAAGGGCGAAAAGCAAACAGCAGTGAACCGCAAGACGGAAACGGAAACGCGTCACACAATGTCGAACTCGCACTCGTCCTTGCTGGGAGGTCCTTTAGAACCCCCCATTTCGCTATTAGATATTTATTTCTGCGGATGTTTGCTGTGTCGCTGTCTGTGTGGAAGAGCGCGCACATATTTGCACATGTTTCGCATTTGTATTCCATGCGTTATTGAGCTGAAAATTGATGCACATTACTTACTCTATTGAATTACACATTAGCCCCGGCTCAACTGGCGAAGGCAGCTGGTAGAGCACTGAGCGAAAAACCACACAGAAAGAAAGGTTTTTTTGAAAATTGTTTAACCAAGTGCTTAAAAACGCATTTGTTATAATTACACTGTGCAGCATTTTTAGTGCTTTTTAAATTTACCTCGATGGATGCTATATTTTTGGATTCGTTACGAATTCCCAAGATAAACTGCGTTTTCAAAAAAGTTCCCCGACGCAAGGATTCTTAGCAAAAGGACCTCAAAGTTCGAAAAATGAAGAAATTGGCCAACTTTCCGGAGCTCTCAGAGGCAAACGGATTCATGGTTTGATTCGATGCTAAAGTTTTTTAAAAGATACCTTCTTTATCTTTCAAACCCCATACTTAGAATAATTTTAGGATTTTTTTTAAGGCAGAAATAGATTCCAGAAACATAGTCAAAAAACTTAAAAACGTACAGCTGCGGTCAAAATAGTAGTAGTGTTGCCGCCCTGTGTTTTTAAAAGTTTGTTGTTGTAATTCATCTTCTTCTGGTGATATTGTATTGATTATAATTGTACTATTAGACTAATTGGATAAGAAAAGTGACAACAAAAAACTTTTAAAAACACATGACGGCAACACTACTACTATTTTGACCGCAGCTGTATACTTTTATGTTTTTTGACTATGTTTTCTAAAACTTGTTTCTCCCTTAATAAAAATCCTAAAATTATTCAAAGTATGGGGTTTGAAAGATAAAGAGTGTATATTTTATAAAACTTTAGCATCTAACCAAGCCATGAATCCGTTTGCCTCTGAGAGCTTTGGAAAGTTGGCCAATTTTGGAATTTTTCGAACTTTGAGGTCCTTTTGCTAAGAATCCTTGCGTCGGTGAACTTTTTGGAAAACGCAGTTTAACTTTGGAATTCGTAACAAATCCAAAAATATAGTATCCATCGAGGTAAATTTTTGATGCTGCATAGTGTTATTGGTGGTGTCTGAAAGTATGCAGTAAAAAAGAAGAACTTCTGGTTTATGCCAATTTACTGCTGCATACTTTGCGACACCTTTATAAAAGATTTCACCAAAAATTTGAGATTTAAAAATAATAAATACCAATGTAATACATACTATTTGCTTTCAGTGTACACTTTTAGCTGGATCTGAAGCTCCTGATGCTGTGGCTGCATCTCCGCCGCTCGTTGGCCAATAAATAATTTGAAAATAACAAAATAACAAAGTGAAACAAAGGACATGCCGCCAAAGTGCGCTATAGCAAAATCAACG